TAGATGGTTTTGAGGTGGGGACAAATCCTAAGGGTTTCGATGTAGGAACAAATTCAGACGGGGGAGAGAGTGGCTTGGGTTTTGGGGTCGTCAAGGTAGCAGCAGATGCTGAAGTCTGTGGCTCTTGTTTTGGCGTCTGGGAGGCCTCTACTTTCGGCACAGTTTTATCTTGTGCTGGTCCAGAAATTTCTTTCCCTTGAGATTTCCCTACAGGTTTCACATCCTCTTTTTCAAGAGGCTCATCCTTGCGGATGCGTGGACGAGGTTCCCTGGTCCTGCCTCGTGTCATTAAACTAGTCAGTCCAGCAGAGATATCATCTCTTTCCTCCTTCTTTATGGAATCATGTTTGAAGGAGAACACAGGCATCTTTACTATTTTTTGACCAGATGCTGGTTCAGGTTTCGGTGGTTCTAAAGCTGGTTTAGGTGGTTCTGGGGACATGGCTGCAGGGGTTGTTGCCGTGTCTTCTTCAGCAGGAACAACTCTCCTAACCACTCTGCGTACCACCTTTACCACCTTCTTATGGGTCCCAACCTGCCAGTCCTCTGTGAGCTCTGGTTGACTAGCACTAGCAGTAGTCTTAACACTGCCATTGAGAGTACAATTCATTTTGCTTTCTCCATTCAGTAAAGGTTCAGGACTCAAGGGAGCTTGGGGAGGCTCAGGGCTTTTGAAGCGCTCCGGCATCTTTGGCACTTCAGAGAACTTTCTGGTTGCCATCTTGTCTCTGTTGGGTGAGGGGCTTTTGACTTGCCTGAATTGAGGTTGGGACTGGATCTCTGTGGGTGTGTCCCGAACAGGCTGAGGACTTTTGGCACGCAGCAGGCCTCTGCCAGGCTCCAGGCTGGGCACTGACTGGGAGCGGCTACTCAGGCTGCCATCGCTGTCAGACTACTCACCCAGCAGGTACGGTAGATGTAGAAAAGTCAGAATGGAAAGATCATTGAAAATAACTTTAAATTACACAATTACACATCTAAAAACTCTGTTGTTTTCAGTTATTTCCTCAACCAGCACATCATGCAATGCTGTCTTCTTTATGTTGGTTCCTATGCAAATATTCCTGCTTCATTTACTGTTCTATGACTGGGGCCACTCAGTAAAAATATCTCAGAACTTTTTTAGGAAACAAAACCTATTCAGATGGCTGCCTTTCAATAGTAAAGGCTGTAAATATTGTACCTTCTCACTAAAAGACAAAGCAAAACAAAACCATTTGGCTACCAAACACAATTAACTAGGTGAAAGGGTAGTAGATTAGAATACTGGTTTCTGTTGACATATTATACAGAAGTTTGTATGCATGAGAGAAGAGAGATAGCAGAGGAGGTGAACTATCGCATAAATACACTTCAGTGACTTTTGCACTTAACATTTCTGCATGGAGCACCTTTCCAAGCATGCATTTGTACACTCAGACTGAAAGTACACCCCGTCTTGCTCCCTACCACGCTGTCTCTTCACTCCTACACACATATTCAGTAGATTCTGTCAGTTGATTATGAGATATACCATATAAACAATGTCTATCTGTCAGCAGGTTTTGCACATAGCTCACTGATGCCTAAGTTTTTTAAACTCAATATAAACACCCTGCTTTTTACCGA